TGGTACTCGAGTCCTTATCGGGGAGATAGTGGCTCTATCTTAAACAATACGCATAGTCACTGGGTCGTAATTGTCTATTATAGAATGTGCGCCAATATATTACCAAATATAATTGTTTCCTCTAATACTTAACAACCCTAATGCGATGAGTCAGCTGGATCAATCATGTACGGTTGAAACCTGCTTTGTAACATGAATTTGAAATATGATTGCAACATGTCGGATGATTCAAGGTGCATATATAGAAAAAAAAAATCGAACAAAATTAAAAGATAAAAATTAAGCAGTGGTCCCCAAACTGTGTATACCTAGATCCAGGGGTCAAAAATAAAACACTAACAGTAGCTTTAAAAAAAAACCTGTGCCACTACAACCCATGAAGGGTCTTGGGTTCAGTAGACCGTGAGGATGTAGTGTTTCTTGGTCAACTGTTGTGCAAGGTGGTGATTTGAAGGATTTATTTTTTTTTAACGATAGAATTCTCATTTCATTAAAAAAAAAATGTATTTATTTATTTTTAATCATTTAATCAAGAGTTGATGTGGTTGCCAAAGTGTCCTGTTTCCTACATCATAAAGCTGATATACTTAATGCGGATTAGTCTTCATGAACAATTCGAGCACCGTACTTTCCGGATATGAATACAAAATTGGCTGTTATAAGAGAAAAATCTTCTGGAAATTAAAATTTAATTGTAAAAAAAAAATGTAAGTTGCTATATTTCAAATCATGGAACTACGTTCTTCATTATTTATTTGTTCTTTTCATTTAATGTTTACAGAAAAAATTATCTGGTCATTTTGGTATTTGACATGTTACTGAGCAATACTGGCAAATCAATTTTGAAAAAAGTTTTTTTCAAAATTTTTCATCTTTGGTCCATATTTGTTTTTGTGAGTGATCTGAGAGAAATCTTCAAACAATTACAATAACAACTCTTTTTTAATTATAACGCATACAAATTATAAAAATATCATCCTTAAAAGCATTATTTTTTCTGTAATTACAACTTTTTTTGTTGTTGTATATGTAGGCTTACAACGACCACTTCATCAAAATTGTATATAGTTTCCTTCTTTTCTTTATAGAGTAACTACAGTACTTAATCGAAAAATAAAAAAAAGGCCCTCCCAAAATTAAAGCTTGTATCAGCTACTATTTCTGTTCCAACGTTAAAAGGGATTTATTATTAAAGAAATCCTCCGCTGGTTTCCGTTAAGTAGAACGAGTCTTGAGCTAAAGTTTTCATGATATAAATTTATTTGTCAAGACTGAAGGATATGATAGTTTAGAACTAAGCAAATATGTGTTCTGGTCTAGAAAATCGAAGACTTGTTTAATTTTATTTGATTTAATTAGTTTGATTTAAATGTATAACTGGTTATTTAACTACAGTAAATGTGTTTAAGGTTTTAAAAATATGTTTTACACATCCACGAAATATTTTATATTTCACTAGTACTCTCTACGATGAAGTAGTTTTTAAAATTATTTTAATTTTAAATGTTTACATTTAGTTAGAAAATTTCATTTAGTTTCCTCGGAAAAATGTTGTTTCCATTAAACAATATTAGTTTTGAGAAATTATTATTTATAATTTTTTCGTCACCCTCCATTACCTTATAAATAAAAGAATACTGAAACGGAACTTAGGAAGAAATATAATTAAAATATAAAAATATAATTTGGCAAAATGCTGTAAACAATTTACGAATTTTTGTGAAGCATTGGGTTTATTTTGAATAAATGATGTTTATAAGACGGGTTAGTATTTAAAACAGTTTATAAAAATAGAAACCTTCACTTTTGACACAGTTTCGAAGGGAATGTAAGAGAGTTTGACACCGAAGAGTCTACAGACAGTGAGTGTAAATAAAGTGAAAAGATAAGGAGAAAGCTATGGGCTCCAGGCTGACTCATCCGCCATCTCTGGAACCTTCTTTATCTCCAGTCCCTGGCCTACGTGACTCCAGATATTTATTTTGAACGCGAGCATCAATGTCAATCTCATACATACGACGATTTTTCAATCTTTCAATAAGTAATATAAAAATAATGAAAGATAAAAATAGAGATATTTTAAGACCAAGCCATTAATAAAACATTTCAATTACTTATAATAATATTCATAACTCAAATACCGACGCCATTACTCATTCCTAAATGAGTCGTTGAGGAATTGGATTGTTGCGATGCAGGTCACTCTATGTGAGGGCAAGTGTCCAGGACATGACTAATAAATTACACGCCATTAGCATCACATAAATAATTAAATATCATTTATAACAAATTTGCATTCATCTTGAGGGATCTGTTGCAGAAATGAAATCCGATTATTAAGTGCTACCATTTCATATATGTATCAAATAATTCAAATACGGATTCAGCATTAATAGGTAAATTTTCAAGATACCTTTAAAAAGAAAACATCTTTCATATCCAAAAAAAAAAAGGTTTAAAGTAAACACATTTTTAAATAATCATATTTAAATAATATTTAGTAAAGCACGCTAGTTATGGTTAATCACTTTATCCAAAAAAATGGAAACACAATATTCTGAATTTGTGAACATACCAATATCAAGTACTTCTAAATGTTTCTCTTGTAAGATTGCTCATCCTGTGGCTTTTGATTACCCTTCAATTCTTACACTTACATTCAACTCTATCTATTGTGAATTATTTTAAGCATCACGTATCTCTTTGTAATGTAATGATGATATTTAAGTTTAAAATTACAAGTAGATGATTTAGTTCTAATATTCGATAGTATAAAAAGGCCAATTTTGACCTCCGTGAATTAGTGAATAATACACGAATGATCAACTATCAAGATCTGTGAATTTTAAGCTAAAATGATATTTTAATGATTAATTTGAATTATGCAGTCTGCGACTTGGAGGTGGACACATTTTTTTTTTTATTGAACATTGTTAAATCAATTTATAGTTTCATCCCAAAGTTTTATGTTATACAACAATAGTTGCCCATGCTTCTTCCACAATTGTTTAATTTATGTTACTCTTTATTCATAGATTCTTTCATTTCGTATAAAAATATTATTGATAATTGGTATTGATCTTATTTATTGTTAATAGGTTGCTAAAATTGTTCTTATTTCTTTAACTATACTTTTGCACAGAATTAGGATAGTTTATTGTCGAAAGAAACCAACGAACAAATCAATCTATTAAGTCATTCAAACATAAAATAATAAAGCATTGCGTGCGTTGGAATTAACCACTCCTGGTTATCCTAGAAAAAAATAAAGTATATTTCCTGAGTGCATTTAAATGCAGCTTTGATTTGTTGTAGCTATATTGCCGATGTTTATTCCGATGTTTTTTTTTTTTTATACACCAAATGTTCGTTAAGGTGTGAATGATTTTTTAAATCGATTTTTAGAAACTTAACCGATTACATATTCAAAATCGTAGAATGCAAAACGATATGTAAGAAACGAAATTTTAAGTTAAAATAAAAAATTCTATAAGAAATTTAAAAAAAAAATAGTGGAAGGCTCCACTATACGTTTTGAAAGAGAAGAAGAGGGCCGAGCATACAGTCAGCCTACCCCCGCCATTTTGCCGATCACTCTTGGATATTTTTTATCGAAGTGACAACCCCGAGGACTGATTCAGCTGCGGTCCCTAATCTATCGGCCCCCTCTGACTCATGTTTGATTAAGATACCAGGGCTCTAAATGATTCACCCTGCGCCACACCAGCTACCCCTTCTCTTATTAATTACAAATAAATTTTCTGATACCGCCTGGGGGCTGGATTGAAGTACCCCTCTTTCAAAACTCTAGTAGCGATTACTTCTCAGCGGCATTATACTCCAATTAGCCCCCCCCTTTTTTCTTCACTGAGAGCATACTTTGAAACGCTTCCTTATTTTAAAGTGATAACATATCTGACATAATTAACTAAAAATTAATGTCTCAGTTAATGTTCCGTTTATTTTTGGAATGGAAGATAACTAAAAATAATTTATAAATGATTACTTGATCGTTGATTGATGATACATATAATGAGAGCAGTAGACCAGTGAACTAACTCACTATACTTGAATGATTGAGAGGAGAGAGCATTTTGAGAACGATGAGTTATGAGCGGTGAGTCGGTTCATTGTCACGAGTTAGTAGTTCTCATCAGATAACTGCTGTTTTACCTATTTTGGGCAACAGGAATGATTGTCACTTCTACTAGGGCTGCCCAGGAGGGAGTTCCATGGAGCAAGTTGTGGCATCAAAACTTTTAAGGGAGGCATATTTTGAGTGGGTTTTGAATGTTTGAGGACACATTTCGACGGGACTACGAATTTTCGGAATGAAATATTTCAGAAAACTAGGAGACAACATGTAACAGTCCACTGAAAGTGTAATTGTATATGATCTAAGATTTGTATAATCCTACTTTAGCTTGAACTGTTTATAAATTTTGGAGAGGGGGGCTTCATGCGCTATCAACCTTGTGGGGAGGAGGATGGGTACTCCAGCCGAGTTGTATCTTAAATTTTTTAATTTTTTTGAAAATCATTTTCTGATTGAAAATTAAATAGTAATCCTATATTCCAATACTGAGACATTTCTTTCAATCTTAGAGGCAATAACAGAATTCTAAAACGGTTAAGGTCAGTGAAAAAGAAATCAGAACAAAAAAAAGGCGAACCTCTAAAGAAAGGAGATCTAGATTTAATTCGTAGAAAAGAACGGTAGTTATTTCTAGTGATCAGTAATTTATCAAGTAGGGTTTTCAATGTTGTTACAGAAGAATACTTAAATAAGCTCTTCTAATTAAAGGAAAATCGATTGTCCTAAGATGATATAACAAATCAGGAATCGAAATTTTTTAAGTTGCAAACCTGTAGAATACTGCTTTACCAATGTTATCGAGTTCGCTTTCCAGGCAAATAAAAGAGAAGCTAATTGCTCCTTCCATCGGCAGGAGACAATGGGATAGTACACACCTGAAAATGTTTCGCAAGGACTGTGGGACATGGAAGTCCTTGAAGCACTGAGTCAGCTCCCAACAGCAAAGCTTCCTTTGTTTACATCAGAATATCCCCCTTTCCGATACTACGGGAAGGTGTTTATCCTGGACCGTGTAGTGATACACCTGGGCATGTCAGAAATCGAAAGTAAACCCGATTATGTCGGCTGTCACATAACAACCTGGGCAGTGTTATGTAATGTCACTATTGCTCTTAGCGTAGGAGGCGAATGACATTTAAAGTAGCACATATTTCCCGTCGGTTTGGCTCCTACAAGTTTCTAACAGACGGACAGCTATATTTAACTATTATTTGTATATAGAGCTATTAAAAATATAAATCAATATGATTACATTTGGTTATAATTATAACTGCGGTTTCCACGATAGGAATTTCACTATCCCAAGAAGTGGCGCGAAATTTTTGAATTGATGTAGTCATTAAATATAAAATAAATATACATGTTCGTATCGTTATAGAAAAATCTCGAAATTATTCTGTTATTTGAAGTTTTTAGTATTGTGATTCGTAATAAAGATATTATTATTTACAACATACCTGCATAGATATATTTATAATCCAATGTGTAGTTTACGTTAAGCTAAATCTATCAAAAGCGTCTTTTGGTATTAAACGATTACTGAAGGGTAAGTTTTTATTTTGCTGAAGATTGTAGGTTATAGAACATTTAATTCCACTAATTCAAGTAGTGTACGGGAGGGAGGCTTTCAGGCTGAAGCCTCCCCCCCCCAAAATGGTAAAATATAACCATGTTTAATAGAAAAAAATATTAAAAACTGTCTCTTAAATTATTATTGTTCGTGTGATTACATTTAATAGGACATCAAGAATAACTAAGACACCATGTCATATGGGTAGTTAGTTTCTTTCTTTTTATTTTTTAAATTAATTATCGTTGTATATATATGAAAAAAAGCCCCTCCCCCCCAAAATTAAATCCTGGATCCGCTAGTGAAGTAGTTTATACACAGTATGGTGTCTAGCAATATACGTAGTTATGTATTATTGGGGCGGTCTCCCATCCAAGTACCTACCGTGATGAACGTTGTTTAGCTTTTCTTATCAATTGCAAGGACCTTGGCCCGGTTGGCTTATAATATAAGTAACTAGTGTAAATCAAAATTAATTGTTTAATAGTCCTGGTCTTGGTCTTGCAACAGTTAGGCGGCCTTGATCTTGGTCTTGCAAAGTGCAAGACCAAGACCGATTTTGGACAACAGTACAAATCGCTTACTCCTTTTACTTAGGTACTCAGCAATATGCAGTATACCCAGAAACATAAACGTCTATGTTTTTCCAGGCTTATCCCGATTACATTTATATCGCTGCTCAGCTACTATCCATATATTTTGGCTAAACCATCCCTATTGGTTCAAAAATGTATCGCATTTCATTAAATTTGTGAATCGATAACGTGCCGTTTTGAATGTAAATTACGAGATGACTTTACAGACAATAAGGATTCTATGCACTGTATCTATTCTCAAAATGCTTTCACTACTTATGATTGCTTGATGTTCTTTCAAATTGCATCTAGCTTCAAATATAAGTTGTTTATCAGTACGATGCGAACATGTTTTATTGAATCTGTGTGAAGTCATATACATTTTATGGTAATTGCCACAATTATCCGCTATTGCTGGATGTTATTCTTATCCCAGAGCTGGGCTTCCCGGCCTGAGGTCACCGCGGGAGGTGAGCAGGTGCGGCCCTCGGCGGTACAAAGACATCGCAGATCTGAGTCAGCGGAGGCTGCGGACCCGGACCCAAGCCAACCGCTCTTCAATGACTCACTCCTCGACTTCAGAGGGATGCTGATGGGAAAAACAAATGAATCTGAAGGGGACTTTATGTAATGGCTGAAGGGAATTTTTCATCTGCGAGGGATATTGATACCGGCTATCGCGGTTCCGCGAAGGGGAACAAACTGCCTATCTTTGACATTTGCTGACAGCGGCTTTGAGCCGACTCTGAGAGTTGATACTCTCCAGCCAGGGAATGGATAGCTAATAGGCTGCCCCAATTAGATGTCACATGAGTCACTCAAGTTTAACGACTCCTTATCACTCCTGCCCCCATCCTCTGATGTTGATTCATCAACATTTGTTGATTTACGGCTATCAGTCTGCAATTAAGTAATTATTGTATTAATATTTTCCTCGTATTTAATAGTTCATCAGTCACCCGTCTCGTTGAACAATTAGTCCACTAAATGTATTTAGTCTAACTCAATTACTTTTTTTTTCTTACATTATTTACCAATTTGACTTAAGTCTTTTATGATTCATCTGGTTTGTTAGCTTGCCTAGGACAATGCCATCTGATGAAATTAACCACTTTGCTGTTAATTGGTTTGTTTAGTTCTGAGAGAATATCCTTCAGAAAGGAATTTTATGTTTCTAATCTATAATTAGAATAAGAATATGCATAATAAATAATGTATTTTTTTTACTAATTCACTACAGTAAACACTATATTAAAGCATATAAAGCCTCTCATGAAAATATGTATTTCACTCGACACATAGTTATACTATATAAAAGTCGCTATCGATGATGCTTCCAGGGACTAAGATATAGAGATTCAAAATAAGATTTGACCATATCATATTTAAAAATAGCCAAATAGAGATCTTAACCTCCCAACAATTGATAAATGCCTTAATAGAAGTTTTTTTTTCTAGAATGAATAGTGAATTTGCATTGGTCGACTGAATTTTTGCAAAGACGGTTTACTTCAAACATTTTGGAATAACCATAAGAATCTTCAAAATACGAAGATCTTCAGTGTTCTTTAACGGACCAATTCAACTAATAGGGTATTGTTATTTTGTTTAAACGTACTAATATAAACTTTCATATAAAGGTATGAAATATATGATAGTAATAAACTTTTGTTTACAATTCTTTTTCAATACTAAATTAGTTAAGAACAATATAATCTTAACCTATCTTGAAAGATAGGTTATATTTATTATATATTATTTATATTTATTATATATTGTTATATATTTAAAGATAGCTTTAAAGATAGGTTTGAGTCTTAAAATCTTGAAAGATTTTAAGACTCAAACATCACAAAATGCTATACAGTTTTCTGTGGCAATGAATTAGATCAAATAATCTATCAAAGTAAGCTTAATTAATAATATTAATAAATATATATACAAAGCATTGATGGAAACTTTTTACAACGCATGAAGCTAAAATCTGGTGCGCGCATCACACAACCTCCAATTACCGCTCTACTTTGAATAGAAATAATTTCTAGGCAATGTTGGGCTATTAAAAAATTGTTGAAGGGGACTTTTAACGGAGCTAAAGCTTATCCCTAACAGCTAAGAAACCATTACAATAATTCAAATCATATTTATTATATCGACGGTAGGCAATAAACACCTCTTAACTCTACTTGTTTTCATAAACCACATGACTCCAGTTGCTAAGCTATACATGCCTAGTGAATTTTGAAATTACCTCTGTATATTTAGGCAATAAATTATGGTATGATTGTACTACTATTAGTTATTATAGCTATATGTTTATATTATAAAGTTCACTAAAATGGAGCTATGAGATTTTCATTGCCTACTGTCGATAGTTGAAAAGTTGTCACACTAATCGTAAGTGCTCCATATCATTTTTTAAAATATATACTCCACTAATAATTTAAAATGCCTCCATATCATTTTGCTATCGCCTTTTAATTTCCCATTAAACTTTAGACTTTCAAGAAAACACAATTGATCGACCAACTTCCACCAGTAAGACAAATACGAATAAAATATGAAATTATTTGCACGCAAGCAACGTTGAATTTATTACGTGTAAAATTGAATTGGAATCTATTATATGGTAGAACATATGCAGAAAGCAGTTTCTCAATGCCCCTCTCCAGTTGAAAAGAAGGTGTGACATCTGGTAACCTGTCACAGAGGGTGATATTTAAATATCAATTGACAATGTTGCAATCATGGTGTCCGTTTAGCCTGGCGATAGTGACGGATAATAACATGCACCACTCGAACCAGTTGAGAGCATACAATTTTTTTTTTCTTTCACTTATACCGTATTTGGAGATATCTTGTGAGATTTCAAGTTATACAATTTGAGATTAAATTGCTAAAATTGTATCAAAATGATAACGCAAACCATAAATTAGATCCTGTAGTTCTAATTGAGCAGTTTTCATCTTTGAAATAGTCTCTTAGATAAGACCACTGCAGGATATTAATTTTTTTTTTTTTAATTTTAAATTTCCAATGAATAATTATCAATAGACAATTGGATTCCGAGGATTAAGGTGAAGATCTTGCGTTTTGCAATTGCATTTATTAGAGTTTCATATTTTGTGTCTGTATGAGTTAATAAAAAAATGATGTTGATGTCATGCGAATTTCAGGAATTTTGAAATATAGAATTCACAATATAAATACAACTGGCCTTCCCCAACTAAATTGTCTGTTAGAATACCATTGAGAAATGTGAAAGATATCAGTAAACAATAAAATTGTCAAAATCAATCCACAACTAGAGAGAAAATGTACAAAAAAGAAACAACGAAACTCTTTATTAGATATGATTTGAATTGCCAATATATGAAGTATAGTTTGAGGGTAGAACTTTACAGATGGATGGAAAATGTTAATTAGCTCAAAATATTCAAACCATAGCCGATTCGGAATGTATCATTTCTTCAACTCCTCTGCAAAGCGTAACATAATGATTGATGTTAGTATACATTGGTTTAGCCTTGTATTTATTTAATTCAATTGAAATAATTTTTTTTTAAGTATTCCTTTTTTTTGAACAATCATAGATTTTTCTGCAGTGTTAATGTTGATAATTTGTTTATTATTTTAACAGACCGATTTTTGTCATACCTGTTGTATTAATGAAATATTAATGTTAATATTATTATATGGAAAATAAAACAGATTTTTAAATAATTAAATCTTCAATTTTTCAAGGGTATTTTCAATTAATTAATAAAATGAATAATTCCAAGGAAATAACTTATTAAGCCCTTTCACTTCCTCTCAATGCTTCAATTCATTTTATTTATTCCAACAACATTTCAGGCCAACTTCGCCCATTTTCAAGTAGAACATTTTATCTAAAATATTACAATACATTAAATATATTAGATATTTAATGTATTATAATATTTTAGATAAAAAGTTCGATTTGAAAATGGTCAAAGTTGACCTTGTTGTAATAAATAAAATGAATTGAAGCATTGAGAGGAGGTGAAAAAGTTTAATAAGTTATTTCCTTGAAATTATTAATTTTATTTAAAGTTGTAAAGTTATGATGATTAATATATAAACTCTATTTGCATAGGGTTCTTTCTTAATGGTAAATTATGATTTAATATTAAAAAAAAAAAAATGTGTGTACTTTAGACCACATGATAGAAGGGAAAATATCAACAAACCGAGATTAATAATACAAAATATAAATTATAAATAATAGCTCATTATAAAGGGGATGAAATACTGAACAATTTCCCCGCTTTGCAGTACGCAGGTCAGATTTTTAGTTTCTGACATATTTTAATCCATATCCAAAAACACTTCAATTAGTCTACTCCAGCCGACTTTACCCGAGTTTACACATCGGAAATTTGAGGCCTCAGTCCAATTCACTCTCCACAAAAAAAGTGCAAAATTCGCACATCATATTTATTAATAGTTTTCAACACATCTTAAATGATTTTCTTAATTTAATAAGTTATATTTATTTTAATTCTTTCCGATATTATTTAATGGTAATTGAATCTAAATCAAATCAGTCGAATACTTTGGGATGATTAAGCGAGAAAGAATCCCCAATAATACTATTCATCGAGTGGAATGGTATCTGAGATAAACCCTGACCCGTGAGTCACGATGCCTCACACAGAACCAATTCGAGCCGAAATAGCAAATTAATTCTAAACAATTTCCTTTCTTACTGCTTTTCTATAGTGAGACTTATTCAAATTGGTAGAAACAATGCTAAGATTGGAGATAACTGGCACTAAATTTAAATAGGCCACTTCTTACGTTCCCTTTTCAACAAATTTAGAGTTTGAACACCTCACAATCCCACGAGAAAAACAAAAAAAGGAGAAATTGGTCGAGATAATGATCGTGGGACTTTTCCCTGTAATATCAAAGTCACAAGAGAAATTGATCCAGGAAAAGGTTGTGAGGGAATGTTTTTGAAATACATTGAACTTTCTCTTTTTATGTTATTTAATGCCAATATTAAGAAGTATATGTTTGAATCAAGAATCCTTTATATTTAAGGATTTTTTATTTATATTTTAAATGATTTTCTCTCAAATTAAAAATGTTTAAAACCAAAAAAGCGGGTGAATATTAAATAAAACAGTTTATAGTACATTCTGTACGTATAATGAATGTGCTCTTCTACCACATTCAAATCACTGTATTCCTTGATCGAAAAAAAAAATGTAATATTGTTCAAATAAAATAAGTTAATTACAAACAGTGCGTTTTACCGATATTTCAATTTACTAGAATGTTTATTTGACTGAGTACATTTACTTTTAATTTATTCATTGAGATTTTTTTAACTAGACAAAATAATTAGTATCGTAATACTACTAAACTTCCAGACAAAACGGGTAGTAAATAGATTTTTCCAGCCATCTAAAATATAAATTAAACGATTTTAAATGTGAATGTATACCCCGTGAACGATTTAGAATATACATTAACGAAATCTCTCCAAAACCAAACATTTTTATAAGGAACCTGTTAATTTTCATGATCTTTATATGGCTATTAATAATTATATTAAACTGAAAGAATCCCATTTATTATTAATATTTCCAAGACACAACTAGGTAAGTTATTTATTTTTTTAATGATTTATCTACTAATCTTGTGTGATCTTTGTTTTCCATACATTACGATATTTTTAAGGGACGACTTCATAAAATTAACTGCTCCTCAACTTTTAAAATAAGCCTGTTAAATTGCTAAGCTAATAGGTATTATATAAATAAATTGAGTCGCCATTAAAACAATTTTTTTTTCAATATAAAAACTAAGTAAATGAAATTACAAAGGCTTAACTCATATCTGTAATTTTTTGCGTCGCCATTCACAAAATGCTTTTGTTTACCTCTGTTTGGTAAAAATTAAAATTTACTTATTTAGAAATAAAAAAACAAGAATCAACTAAATTGTGTTAGAGATAAACAAAAGTAACTTAAAGCCGTTGATGACATTAAAGTTTACGCCTTAAAGCATCCAAAAACAAACAAAAAATCAATTATTTTCTCTAATATACAAATGACGAATTTTCGTGATTTGGCTATTGGTGATTATTTGCGAAATGATGAATTTTCGCTATTTGGAAGAATACCTGTCAATGGCCTGTCAATAGGTATGTCAATAAATATACCGATATACACATAATTTACTTATCCTATTAAATTAAGTAATCAAATGTTTATTATAAATAATTAATATCGCGCAAAAACGTTTATAGGCCCTAAGCTAGCTCAACTCCAGCCCCCAGGTTTCACACATATGCTTTACACCATAGATTTTACACGTTTTTATAAGTCAGGTAATAAAAGAAATAGTGTGACGTCAAAAAAAGTCGTGACGTCAGAAGCTTAAAATGCAGCAGAAAATGTACTTCTTGGCTTGAGTTATTTAATGTTATTTGCAAAGAAATGCAAGATGCCTCAAAACATTTATTAAGATATATAGTATGAATGTGCTCTTCTATCACATTCGAATTACCATTATCCTCGATTGAGACAAAAGACCACTTGGAAGGCCAAAAAGCAGATGGATAGGTAGAATCAACAAAGATACAATAGAGCTGCGTGCAGATAAATGGAAAAAATAGCCCAAGACAGGCAGAGATGTTGCAGGCTTGTTAAGGCGGCAAAATATCAACATGGTCTATAATGCCAACAGAAAAAAAAAAAAAGAATATAATTAGAAATAGAATATTTTACCAGTAAGCATTCTTATACAATCGTATTTCTAGACAAAACGTGTAATAGATATTTGCTTAGCATATTTAATCTAAAAATATAGCTTTAAACACTTTAGATTTGACTGCTTTTCCGTCAGCGATTTAGAACATTGAAATCTCTCTAAAACAAAATTTTTGTTGCGAGACAGTAAATTTTCATAAATTATTTATGATTCTTATTTTGTTTAGCAAAGATGATATGAAACTGGATGAATTCCTTTTTTTTTTTTATAAAGACATCTATCTATATAAGGTATATTTTTTTGTACAATAGTCTCAGTGTTTTTTTCAGTGTACAATAGTTATACATTACAGACGTTTTTAAGGGACTACTTCACAAAATTAATTGCTCCTAAATAGTTAAAATGAGCCTATAAAATTGAGCATAAGTTACTAAGCCAACGAATATTAAATAAATAAATAAATAGAATCAACATTAAAACAATATTTTTATGTGATAATAAGGACTTGAAGACAACAAGTACATCTGGTAATAAGGACTTAAAAATAAATAGAAGAAACCTCGTGACGTCATAAAAGGTTGTGACGTCAGAGTCTTAGACAGGTAAGCCCAACAGAAAACATTTTTTTCGATAATTATTTCTCAATTAATAACATTTAATGTCAGTATTGTATTTATTATTTTGTGTTCATTACATTATATTGTGCGTGTATAAGAAATCTCGTACTTATGCATTCGGACATTGTATGTAAGCAGGTATGTAAGTAGGCTAGCAAAGCGATATTCGCTGTTAGTGTTCGAACACGATATAAAAATACTTTTATGAATTTTATTTAAGTAATTTAAACACCAGAATATGTCTGAGAGATTGTGAACATTCATATTTCACTACAAGTATAAGTATATTTGATTGATATGGTATGATTTAATTGTAAATAAGAATAAAGTGTCAAATTTAATGAATTGTCAAAGTGGCTAACACAAAAAAGAATAAACTATTTTTATTTCATTATTACTCTTTTAATTACTTTTTTATAGATCTATAATTACAAATGATGTAGCCAATGAAGAGCTCCACATTTTTTTTTAAAGAAAAGCAAACTTTGAAGGAAACTCAAGGTTTAATAACAAACTTTCCGGATGCAATCATTCCTAGACTTATTAATAGACATCAGATATAAGTCGAGGTATAAATCAGGCATCCAACTGATCATAAAGTTCCCCAAGAGCAAAGGAAGAAAAGGATGCCTGGGTCTCTAAGTTGTCTTTTATAATAAGCAATAATTTTTTTTAATATAAATATATGATTTTAATCACCACCCGAGATTTAAAAGAGAAAGGGAATTCTTCCTGGAAATAAATTTAAAAAAAAATGTAAAATAGTCTAAGGAATGATCTAGTTCAAAGTCTTGCAGGACGATTCGGGGGACAGAAATTATACATCGAAGAGCTTAGCTGATCTTTGTAAGTCAGGAATACTGCAACAATTTATGAAGCCGTGCGTAAACTATCAAAAATGCAGGTTACTAATAGAACCAGCAGTAAAAATATTGTTTAATTTTATAAGTAAGATTAAAACAGAAAAATTATTCTTCATCTATTCAGCTAAATCACTCAATACTTGGGAAAAGTAAAAAGACTCTGTAGAACATGGATTTCTTAAGCACTTCAATTACCTAGAGCTATTCCAAAGAACTCATCAGAAAAACACATGAAATGGCACTGCAAAGATACTGCTCAAAAACATAACTAACAAGCGATTTGAATAACTCTACTAGCGAACGACATTTCATGTGACGGAGAAACATTCCATGTAAGGTATTAACGAGTAGAATATCGCGTGACTACTATAGTTTCATCACACGGCTTGATATCTACGTATGACTTTTTTTTTTTTTTTTAATAAAGACAACGTTTTGTAGAAGCTCTCGTGTCAACGATGTTTGTTCTAAACAGACCAATTTGAAACTAAGCAGACCAGATGTTTGTCTTAACTCCCCCCTCTACCGTTAAAGTACAACCCATCAAAGAATTGTCCAGGAAGGGACATTTGAAGAGAACGGTTACGATTAATGATTATTCAGAGGTCTCGTAACGTTAAGTAGAAAGTCAGAGTTAGTGCTATGAATTTCCCTGGCGCCGCGCTGTGAAGTCACTATTGGAAGGTCAAGGGAATCGAATTCTTGAGGCGTCCGAACAAATAAATGTCATGTGTATAATGCGGAAATAAGCCAACTGATTAAAGAGATTCATATATCAAGGATTATGAATTTAACCAACATAAATGATATTGTAGAGTTGAGAAGATTAACAACAATATTTCAAGCAAAACCTAATGGCCTATTGAATGATTTAATGCAAACTTTAAGAAGAGGAGAACAATAACATTTCGTGAGAGAAAGGCTTGTGCCATCTGTCTTGGGGACCCTTGATTTAAAATGTATTATTGTACTGTAGAGTAATGCCTTCTCAATAGACAAAGAATTATGTTGCATTTTTCTCAAAATCTTCCTATATCTGCCGTGTTCTTCTTACCTCAAACCTTTCGTACCGACTGCAAAAAGGAACAGTCACATATCATTTTGGGAAGCACAATCTGAGGCTAAAAGCAACTAGAACACTGACGTCCCTTTCTCACCGAAGATGCATGCGTCCTGGATGCAGGATGCATGTGCGTCTTGCACCTTGATAAAACAGCTTTCGGATTAAGGATGCACGTGCCTCTTGCATCTTCTGTTAGTTTAGTACGTGACTCTTCAGGCGACGAAATTAGTAATTGATATTGATTTTTTTTTCGGAAAACCAAATAAATTATAAGTATATAACTCTCTTCTCTGTTGGTTCGAATTTTTGTGCCAGGGCCTTCCATGATTTCTCTTGTCCATCACTACCTGAGTACTCTTTACTTGTAGTTGTTATTTGTACGATTTATTTAATATTTGATTGATAGCAATTTTGACATACAATTTTTAATCTTCCATGGTAATAACAAGAAAAATAAGTAACAACATATGGAGCAATAATTGAAAATCAGAGGAATTGATAGAAGAAAACCTGTAGTTAAAAAAAAAGTTAACAATGGATAAAAAAATAAAAACAATAGGTGATAATAAAAAAGCAATTGAAAGAACCGTTAATCATAAGTGCTTAGAGAAAATTGAGAAGGTAGATGGTAGACCGAGCGTTGGCGGAGTAAGCCGAACGGACCCGATGATTGCTCCTCAAAAATATTTTGCATCAGGCGGGGCGAGTATGCAAGACCAGCACAACAAAGATACACGCCTAAGACTCCAGCCGTCTGATTCGCAAGAGGCCAGTGCATCCTCGGCGTGAAAGCTCCTTTTCTATTACACAGTCCAGTGTTTAAGCTGCATGCATCCTGCGTTTTGTATCTTCAGGGTGAAAGGAGCCTTAAAGACAAACAACAGTCAACAAAAAAACAACAATACCAAAAAATGGCACATCAACGTTTTATAGGGAAAATGACGGCCAACCCTTCTTGAAAATGGTGTGAAAATTTCAAGTGCCCTGAAACATTATCTGTGGCAGAGAAGAATATAAATCCGATTGATTATGGCCATTATCACCTCTCGGCAGGGCCTGCTAAGAGGGACTGGAACGGAGGAAATGGAGGGAATAAAGTGCGGAATAAAGGCGGACAATAAGCTAAGTAGCATGTTCCGGTCTATAGGGGGAGGGCGGAGGGTTGTGCTTGGAGTGGCGGTTGATACTTCCTGCTTGGTGCTGACTCACCCCTAATCGCCCTGTTAGGCACACACCACTCGCCGGGAGGACGCTCGCTTTGATCTGCCTCCTTATCTCCACTCCGGCTGCGGCGATGTCAGCTCTGCTGCATTAGCAGATCTGCAATTAGCCGAGCGGCGAAGTGGAGGATGTCTGGCGGGAAGGAAGCCCCCTTTACGAATAGTCGTATCTCTTAACAAGTCAATATTTACCGACACTTGGCTTCTTCCTAATTCCAACAGTCAAGTTGGGAAGGAATACAATTAATCTGTTCCAGATGACTGAGAGTAAAGAACTTCAAGCAAGTTCATCTAAGCTATTGTTTTCCATTAAAATCATTGAATTTTTTATCAAGTTATTTTTTGACAAGGCTGAAATGATTGTAATTTACTAATATATAATAAAATAACTGCCTCGCCAGGACCGTTGCATATTAATCAGCTGTGATTCATAGACTCTTCCATGCGCCAAACTTTGTTTACTTACTTTAGGATCCCTCTTGGATTCAGTATCGGGCCCGCGCCTGCAAGTGCAAGGTGTTGCGCTCTACCTCAGTTAGTTAATATCTGTGCATTGAGAAGAGCTAAATGTTTCTCCCATATTATCAACCTATTCCAGATTCAACTCGCAATATCTTCTTACTCAGTTTCAGGTTACATCACTTTAAAATTCCATTAACTTTAATTATTGTTTTAAGATATAAAATGGAAAAAGCTATAATTTATTTATATATATATATATATATATATATATATATATATATATATATATATATATATATATTAATTTTAGTCCCCGTTATTCAGTTTGTTTCTTATTTGGTCGGTTAAAATATTAAAAACAGCAGTAAAAAAATATAATTATATGAATGAAGTGTCTAACGTAGCGTAACTAGTGGTGTTGCGAAAGTGAAAGTCTGTGAGCAATACACATTTTAATTTAAATACAAAAAAAATCACGTTAATCTAAGATAATCAATAAATTAGTGCAGTGACATAACATTTTGAAACCTACAAGCCTGTTTATTCGAAAAAAAAATAATGAAAATGTTGAATCAAGTGAGCAAATACGTCTGAATAATTAATTTTAATAGCTCGAGTCGATAATCCCTTGGAACATATAGCTCAGGAATTAGATAACAATGATTATGAATTTAACGTCAGATTTTTCAGTATTAATGCTGGATTATGTTAGATAAAAAAGTGCCATACATCGATCAAGGATGAAAAATATCGTTTAATAACAAGATTCGACGACCTTCATAACGACTGAGCTCTCACGTGGAATTAAAATATAGAAATACAATTCTTTAAATTTTTTTTGGTTTGTAGGAAGACACAATCAGACTTTATAAATCCTACATTGGAGTGAGGGACAACTTACGTAGTCGAGCTTAAATAAATAACAGATAACTGATATTTTGTTGCAGTTGTAATAGTTTTTATTTGTTTTAGTTTCTATATCACTTGGTGTACACTGATGTGAAACAAATGTCGATTTTTGTAATGCTAAGGAATCACGTGAGGATTCCCAAAATTTGGATTACAAGAAAATATTTTCTTTTTCCTTCCCAGTTCACCATCAATGGTTACCGAAATACTCTTACATATGTATATAAGTTGAATATACAAATATTAGCATGTAGATTAAAAAAAATACAAGTATAACACTGTTAAGAAATGGAATACAGACAGGCCTATTTATGGGAGCACACAGCCCTATCCCAAGAGTACTCGAGAGGCACGCCCATGAATACAGTAGCCAGATAGCGCAGGACCAAGGCTAACATTACCATAATAACTCTCAGCCCATGAAAGAGGATGCCGCTAGTAAATTAATCAGACGGTCCCTATGAATGGCTTCCTCTGTCTTCCATATCGCTCTCATTGAGGTAAATATTTCTTCTTATTGATATTCTACAACTTCCTTCCCGAGGCTATGCCTACTAAATAAATAAATATAAAGGCATATATAAATAGCGCGGAACGGTTGAGGAGGCACAGATGTCCCGTGGACGTGAGTCAGAACTGGAGGCAGGATGTAGTTGGCTTTACGGTTCATTTAGCTGCCCTAAATTCGGCTCGGCACCTCTCCCTAGACCCGGGCCACGCTCTGTCATTGCTGTCATCTGCCCGGGGGCCTCCGTTTGGAAAATCACCCCGAGGGAATGATACGGCTAGTCGGTTACATATGCCAAACCACTCGGTGGATGGAGGGATCATGGAATACACAGGAATCCGAATCGGAATGGAACATATACAAATGTTATCTAATCCAAAGGAGAATAAAGGTATGACGCCGTAAACATTATTTGAAGGGGGCATATTATCACGAGGTTTTAAATCTTTGGACAGTGCACATTTTGCCAAGGTTTTGTCAAAGCCAAGCTTAGTGCACATTGAATTTTTGGTATGAACCATATTTTTGTAGAGCTTCAATTTAAAGGAACTATCAAACCAGAGAAAAAACAGAATACAGATAACAAGTATAATTATATGAAAACTAAAATTTGTATGATTCTCCTTCCTTTTGCAGCATTTTTAAGAAGTGAAGAACAATGAAATTTCTTGGAGGTGGAAGGAGATTTACGCACCACCGACCTTGGGAATATGGATACTCCTGTCTTTGAAAAAAAAATTGTTTATTATCAATGAACTATGAGAGAGGATTGAATGAGCAATAGCTTGTTAACCAATTTTCTATGGCCAATCGTTATTCAGTTCTCAAACACTGAAAAGTATCCATACACTCACTATCTTTCCATTATGTAGAATAAAACAGTATTGAGGTCAAAAGTATCATTATTAATTGCTCAACTATTATCTTAAATGAGATCTCAGTTTGTGAACAGATAGAATCAACAGGGCATTGTTCTTAATATTACCTTCCTAATATGGTGGGAAAACGACTCATTATTTTGTCCAGAAAGTTCAACGAAATACATCTTCAATAGAAACAAATAATTGTTTTGAAACTTTTAATATAAAATGTAAACAAATCGTAAATAGTTGAAAAGTGATGCATAGTAAAACGACGAAACAGAGTAGTATTTTCTCGAATAAAGTTTTTGAGATCTAATTTATTTTCACAAGTTTTGGATCTTCTGATTGAAACTGAATGATTTTTAATCTTGTCTCCTGGATTCAAATACCTTTACAGATTCCGATTCTACACTGCAAGATATCGTTCCAATTATATCCTATTAGGGTACTCATTGCTTAAAACAATTTCTTTTTGGGAGGGATGTTCTATCTTGACTCTCTTAATTTCAAGTTTAAAAGAAAACAAATATCTAATGTAAAGAAAATATTTAAAAGGATAAACAACTATTTTTGAAAATAAATTGTTAAACAAGAATAATGATAATAAAAATAAATTATTATTGAAGTTATCAAGCAGTTGAATGTACATAGCCCCGAACAACTATTTTCTTTCCACTCCTCTTCATAAAAGTTAAAAAAGAATAAATTCTAAATTTTACAGTGGATTTCAGCATGAAGGTCACACAACTAAAAAAAAAAATGCTCAAATGCTCTTTTAAAAAGTTGGGTGCTTGCATGAATTTTAATTTTTTATCCATCGATGAATATTAGATGATAACAATAAAAAAGTAAAAACCCTCATTTTTTCTAAAGCATATTTACAAAAATAATTAGTGTGGAAGAAAAGTTGAGACAAGGCTGTCATTATGTGCCAGTGCCTATCTCGTACTGTCTATACATATCGTATTTTCGTACTGAACATCTCTTTCCGTTTTTTCTCTCATCTTCTCGTTTTTAAATAAAAATATTTATTTTATTAGCATTTATTAATGAATTTTTATAAATTACACCAGAGAGAGGTTGGGGAGTGTCGTATTAGGCAGCCGTATACGTCTCACTACAGTGGACAGAGGCCACGCCACTAGCCCCACCACAGCTCTGAGATGCATTGTCATTTCAGGTGTTTAGCTAAATATTAATCTTTTTTAATTATTTTCTTATTTCTTATTATTTTTTTAATGAAATTTACAACTATATTACAATGTATTACATGAAAAATAAAACAAGTGAATGTGACATTTTTTAATTATTTAAAAAGCTAAAATTCAATCTTGAATAGGTAATCACTTGAACACTATTGCAGGTTAAATTTACGCGATTTTTCTTCCATACCAGTGTCCAATTATGGTAGTTGGGACCTTAACGTTAGTAGATAAGTTCGTTCTTTAAAAACTAGTTCATTCTTTAATTAGCACAATTTTTCCGCAAAAGGTTGAGTAAGAATGAAAATCGAGGAATACAAGTAGTTAATATACAACGGTGAAGGATTCAGAAGTGTTTTGTTTCTATATACAATTTATTGGGAAAGTTTTAGCTGAATGGTTTTTCCAAAAAAAAAAAATGCTGTGATCACGATGTTGATATAAACAACACTGTTTTCTTGGTAAGTCATAAATTTTCCATCGCTAAGCATATCCCACTGCACTTGATGCACGGGCAGCTGCAGCGCAGGCGCCATGGCTGCCTGCACAAGGTCACCGTTATGCAATTGGAGCGATGAGTAAGGTGATTAAATTTTCCCTCGTAAATAATGGCCTCGTCTCAGACGTGGGACATGTGACCAGTTGGCTCCGAACTTTTCCATTGAAATCGTTCTGATAATATTAAAATATTTCTATTAGCTCAGAGGAAAACTCATTGTGATTCGCAATTACAATGCGCCGAACGATTGTACAATGTTAGTTAAATCCACTGTTTGAAATAGTTTCATTTAATTTTCCAGTGAATAATAAAAAGTGAAAGGGATGGCGATAAAACAATTCAACGTTCAATGCACTTTAAATCGTCTATAAAAAGAGGCCCAGAGATCCGAAAGTACTCAGTTTCGTAAATAGAAAAAAAAATTAATGACGTTATTACGCGATAGTATTTAGTTACACTAAATGGAAAGATGGTCATGACGTGATTGAATCAAATAAAAAAAACGTCAGCGACGTAAGGTCGGTATAGCTTCCTCATCGTTTTCATTGGCTAAAAAATATCTATATTACAAGGTCTAAAATTTGTTTTATGAGAATGAAATCTCTGAGAAAAACCGTTTTCGGAAATTCATTAATCATTTAACATACAAAGGTTTGATATCCACGAGTTTTGTTCATCTCTAAATACTAAAATGCGAAACAGTTCTTTATTTGTAGTTTTCATATTTGATGATTCATGATTAAAAAATCGTTCCAGTGCCTACTGAACATTAATGTTTGTAAAAATTGAGTGTTTTACAGGAGAGCAAAAAAGCCTAATTGTTTTTCTATGATTTATTAGTATAATTTCATATTTCATTGCCCTCTGCTATTTTCCATAGTATCAGACTGCTTATATCAGTTTCAGATTATATTTAGAAATAAAATAGAATAAAAGTTGAAAATTTTTACATATGACCTTCTGCACAAACAGTAGTGACATATATTTAATAGCTATGTTTTCACTCTTAAAATGGATGGAACAAAAAATACAGAGGAAAAATTGAACTTTTTGTTTGTTTGCAGTTAACGAGACCAATACTTTTCTTCAGTCAAAACAAAACTAATTAAGCTGGCATATAAAAATATTTGTGAAGTTCACACAACTTTGATATTTAAGGAGAGAATCGAGACCTCGACGGATTGGTTGAACTTCAATAGAAATAAACAAAATCACAAATAAGACTTTTTTCTTTTACACACTCACGAGTAAAAATTTAACTACGCGAGATTGTAATTATTTTATCATATTATTTCTAGTTAATCAGATTGCCGAGCAATGCGCTTTAATTCACTTAGCCGCCCCCGCCCTATCAGCTTATAGCAGCCGCCCCCGCCCCCCAAAGACAGCATTTTAAAGAAGTGAAAAACATGATTGAGGATTACTTCATGTTTGTATGGAGTCATTGGAAATGTTATCTGTAAAAAAAACCAACATAAATTGCTGAAAATTACCAAAAATACAATAGCTGTGTAGAAGCGGTTGGCAAAGCAATGGGTTAGACTATTGCTAGAAGAGATATAGTTTTAAAAAATCCGGAGCTGTTATTTACTAGAGAACGCCAGTGGCAAAAACCCTTAACAAGGGGCACCATTAATAAAGACGAATGCCACGGGTAACAGAAATACAACCGGCTGTCAAAGAGTGTAAGATGGGAGGATAGGGAAAATAGCCCGACTCCTGGCAAAGGAGTTGTCGAGTCTAAATTTGTACACATTCGACCAAGTGTTGGCGCTAATTATCAAAATGAGGCCTCTTCCGGCACCGTGGCCACGTCTGAGGAAAACAGGGTTGGCAGCAACAGAACTTGGTTAACAAGCAAACTTTATCAATAATGGAGGACCAGCACTACTCACACGTCAAACATGCACATATTCTTATGTATCGCATATACAGAATGAAAGGAACAGTGGCTAAATCCGACACAGAAAACTTTTGGTTGTTCCATTTGACACATATTGCTAGTAGATGACTTGTGTCTTGGTTCAGTCTGATATTTGATGACTGGGTACTCTTTGGGATGTTAAGGGTTCAACCACTAAAATGTAATATGATGTTAGAAAGTTTGAGTTGCGCCTCTTTCAGACGTTTAATATCAAAAACATCATAGGATGCTGTTTGTGGATATGAAATAAACCAATTTTATTATAGTCTCCAATTATAAAATGATGCATTTTCATTCACAAACAATGGCTTGAAAATATAAAGTTTAAGGCCTTAATTAGTTAACACTTATATCAAAAATGCCTCTAAAAACGTATCTGAACAAGCTAACATTGACTCTGTTAAAATTTAGAACCTCTGCAATAATTAAAAATAACTTCTTATTTTGGATAATGTGATTGTTTTGACTTTTATTAGATTCATCAATTTAAAACCAGTACATCAGTGATCCAAGAATATTTTGAGACAAATGTCTGCTTCCATTTTATCAAAGACAGACAATCTACGACCGATATAGTGTATAATAGTGTGTATACATATATACACTGATCACAAGTTTCAGAAGTTATACACTGATCACATGTTTTAGATTTAGAAGGCCTAATATCTTTGATCATGAAGATGCGTTACACATGAACTTTGATTTAACTTATCATTTTAATAAGAAAATTTTAAATCCTTAACTATTACATTATTCCATTATATCTCAGTTCAAAGCACAGAAATTTCATAATAGTATTAAACATTCCACGAGTAAAACACTTAATTAAATAATG